GGTTGGTCTACTTTCATGTCTACGTGAAAGGCTGAATTTTACTTTACTGAACTGAAGGAGAGTGTCTCGAGGACTACGACAGTCTGAATATTCTAGTAAACTTAAATTTAATCGGCCACAGAGGCTATACTTGTCGTGTTCTAATGCAACCTATTTAAACTTTTTCTATACACACTTGCACACACTTTCTTCATCCCTGTTTCTACTCTCTTCGTTTCTTTATTCCCTTCATTTTATATCCCTATTTTTCTTACCCCCTATCCCCTTCGTTTTTCGATTTTTATTTTTATTACTATTTCTGACATTTTATTCATGCTTTTTATTTAGGTCCACATTCCTGGTGACCCCATTCCCTTCATCGTAGTCGCCACCGTTCTTCTTCTACTTCCTATTCTGCTTGACTATGTCCGTCTTGCCGAAAATCTTTCCTCCGGTTTGCGTGAACTCCTTCTTGCCGAAGTAGACCGAGTTTCCTTAGATAGAGAAGAGAACGATCAGGAAAAAGACAGTCCCATTAATGAGCGAGACTCCGGTGTTTCTGATGTCCTTCTTGGTGAAGTATCGCGAAACTCTTCGACTGTCAGACATTCTTTGAATGAGCTGGCCCAGGGCGAGTCTTTTGTGCTGAGGTTCGATTCTGAGATGGATTCGCGCCTCATATCCGATGCTACTATTACTTTCGCGTCAGAAGTTTTTGCCAGGCTTGCTGATCTTCTAAGGGTATGCGGTACACCATATCTTTACTATTTATACTTATAGAATTAATTATTGCCTTTTTTCAATAGCTAGCTCCATCTTCCTGCCCGTTTTGCTGCTTTCTTTAGCAGCAGTGAATGGAAGCTAGTTTCATTCTTTCGGCTAGCGAGCTGATGCTCAGACCTGCTTAATCTAGGCTCAAGTATTCAATTTCATCATCGAGCTTGTTTACGTTTAAAATATTTTATTTTCAACTACCTGGCATAATTGAAATATCTGAAATTTCCTTATATACTATTGTCTGAGTTCTGATTATTTGTTTTGTTCGATCACATTGCCACGAGTGTCCTTGGGTCACAAAGCAGATGCGAATTTCAAGGAAGGCCAGGCCTTTTACCATATCATATTCTTTCGTGCGATTGTCGATGAAGCAAACGTATATTTGCTTTAACAATCGACTACGTTACTTATTTTTTGTATTTGAGTAGAGTTTCGTGACTACCAGTAAATCAGTAATATGAGATGTATTCACCATATTTTGCTTAAGGTGATGAAAGACTGATAGTAGAATTTTCCCACAATGTCACAGGAATATGTGAATTTCAATGAATGAATTTAAATGGAGACGTCAGCTCTACTCATATCACTGTGG